TGAGCATTTGCTGTGGTCGCGAGAGGATGCGGACGATACGTTCTAAAATTACTATTCGTATGATGAATAGCAGTGTTTTATGCTGTGTGCAGTTAATCTTAATCAACTGGATTCATACAAACAGATAAAGTGTATTTGGCAATTCCGTCTATTAGTAAATTGGAGAAATTCCGCTAGCAGTTTGTCAATTCCGAAAAATATTCATACTCTCCAATAATCCCAAATATTGCTTATCGATTATAATCGGTAACCAATCCATATTTATGATAAGATTGGTAGATCGACAATCGATTGGTAGATCGATGATCAATTGATTGGTAGATCTAAGATTGGTTATCGATTATAATCGATATCCAATCCATATCCAATCCATATCTTTTAATCGATTATAATTGATTACAAATAATCAAAGAACTCTTGCGGCAACCTACCTTCAGCTCGTCACTCTCATTCAGGGGTTCACCAATGGTAACATCGAGATGCTGTTTCCTTCGGATACTACTTCGCTTGATTGGTTCGACACCAGTTTTCTTTATGATAGACTCAACTCCTTTCTCTTTTTCATTAGTTTGAGATGACGGCTTTGCGTCTTTTATTACTTCTTGTGAAGACACTTCTTTCGTTGAGGAATGTTTTTTGGTTCGGAAAGAATTGCTGGCGGATATCGTTGCTTTTTGTTGAGTGCTCTCTTTATCTGTTGTGAATGTGTCTTGACATGTGTCAGTGCTTGTTAATGGTTTCGGTGACGAGGGTTCACTTCTGGATGCGTGCAGTGAAGACTTTCGGTTTTTGCTCGATAGCGTTGTGGTGCTATCGCGAGGACTCGACGAGTTCATTCGAGTACGAAAACTTGACTTCGGCGATAACTGATCGCAGTTATCCTTCGATTCAGTGTGTGCTCTGAAGCTGTCGTTACGCGTCGGTGAGGACACTGCCGCACCTGCATAACTACTTCGGTCACTGCTGTTTCGAGATCGTCGCAATCGGAAACTGTTTCCAGGCGTTCGATCTGAGCTTGGTAGTGATCTGATACTCGATCGATTAGACAGCATCGATTTTCGTCGCTCAAAAAATAAATCGATCACATGATTCTCTAGACGAACCGTCTGAAATGACATCAGAATTTTTTCATCTTACATCGCAAGCGTTATCACCATAAAAACTTATATATTATAAGCGAGTGCATTCAAGCTGGATTTGCAGGCAAAGAATGAAACAATATCAGAATTTAAATCATAGGTTAAATAATATCACAAACTTTATCAATGGATTGAGCATACTCCACTTCATTTAGCACCGAAAAGTCAAATGAATTGTGATCAGCGAGTAGATCACGGAACAGTGTAATTGTCAGGTCATCCTGAAACAAACACTCCTTTCAAATTTTCCTCATTTGTTCGATGAGGTATTGCATTATGGAAGTGGGATTTAATCCGACTAATATGATAGATACAAGCACGAAGATAAAATTGAATCAAGAACTAACATGCAATTCATTAAATCTGACGCAAAGCATGCCCAAATCGTAAACAACTCTCAACCGACTGGGATGTGTGGGACGTCGCCAAATACGACGACCCATTTGCATGATCTCGGCGTATTCACGCTTAACATCCTGCCACAGGTCCTTCTTATCATCGATATCAGTTATCAATGGAGCTATTCGATAGAAACACGCATATATTGCCGAAGCATACCTGCAGTCACAAGCACGCGTTCACTGAGCTGCTTGACATTCACAAGAAAAGATGACCAGACGAATAATCAAGTAAGATCAGCTATCTGAAATGACTCACCAAGCAAGATAACAATATTTTTTGGGTATCGCATAAAGTCGATTTAGCCATTCCTCGCAAATCTCACGTAATTCATCCGCCTCAACACCATCGAAACAACCGTATTGAAATCGGAATAAATCATTCGCATTCCAATTATCACCCTTAAATTGAAATTATTTAAAGAAGAACACAACTGACGCAAAAATGACCTGTGATTTCGAATGAATATGCTAAAAATGGACAGCATTAATAGTTGAGGTTAGTTACAATACCTATCTCTCAGCTTTAATCTCGCCTGACCCTGATATTTACAGTAAGTATATTTCTCAACTTTGATTGTATTCCAGGATTTCAAGAGCCCTTATGGAACTTGCTCTCAAGATACGACAGTCTGTAAAGAATATCATCAGGCATTCCACTACTTCCCAAAATACTCCGGAATCATCCATTACTGTCAAGATCACTACTTCCTTCCTAGATCCACATTCGATTCTGATGACTAACGTTCTCTTGCTTCGCATTCAGTTTGCATTTTAGGAGTATTGCTCATTTCCTTTCAATAATTTTCATACACTTTCTCATTTTCGTTCCATTGAAACATATGATTACTCTTATTCCTTTAATCAGCAAACACTCGATTCCTTACCTTTCGTCGCATTCGTTCCAGCTCATTCGTGGGCTTTCGGGAAAGCTTTGAAGCGACCCTCCTTATTGGCTTATCTGAAATTTTGAAGCGTCACTTCAAAAGGGCTCAAGATTTTGACTCTTGAGAACTATTCATTACAGAGTTTGGCTTATCAAATTTGTGGATCAGAATTTTGATCAATTCTCATCCAATCAAGAATGTCAGTACATGTGTGTGATTGATCGATTGGGACTGGAATATGTTATGTATCTTTTGGAATCATATGATATCCCGGGATGTATATATTTTTGCACGTGGATGGTCGATTGTTACTTTATCATGCAATGATGATGATGGTGAATTATGTTGAATATTCTCATTGTCTGTATTATTACAGCCATCAATCTTATTCGATCAACGAGCAAATTCAATCAAATCACTGATTTTTTTCTGACCCCTCTCAACATTTTCGGTGATTCAGTGAGAATGGTACGATTTTATTCACAATCAGTACTTCATGTGGATGTACAGGTCACAAGATCTATTGTGAGAATGAAATAAAGCCTAGATTCATAGGAAGTGTATGGCAATAAATGATAGTGGTGAAATTCGTTCCCTTTTCACCCTCACAATTTCTACGTTATTCTTCTCGATACTATCATCAATCACTGATATTTAATATTGATATCAAAACTTATAAAATGAAGGAACGCTTCTTGAAGCCATACAAAGTTTCACTATAAACATGATTAATGAAAATGTGCGTGTATCTAGCGGATTGTGATGAGGATATTTGCTGCAGGGATCAAATATCTATGCATTCGTTTGGATCAATCAATGCGCTTGTTTGTGAGTGTTCAAT